ATTCGTTCATAGCTGCGGGATAATGATTGCTACAGAATACGAAGCTATAGGCCTCAGCCAAATCATCATGCCCAGGGATCCCATCTTCAGCCCATCACTGTGCTTGAGAAGAAATGCCCCCACGCACGACCAACACTCAAGCTAGCGGTGGATGTGACTAACGAAAGCTCTGCCCACCCTCATAGCTGCCATGGGAAGGTGATACAGCGAGCAGACTCATCGAAGTCCTTTTCAAGGTCTTCGGACACCATGACACATGGTAAAAGTGGGCAAGTTTCCGTCTTGGCTTCTGGGCGAATGGGGCCACTTTTGATATTGTGATGGATGTGCCTACTTGCGGATCATATCGTTATCACCAACATGACTAACGTGAAGATTGCAGACATATGGTGTGTCAAATCACTTGCAAAACAATGATGGATCAGTCAGATTCCAATTCAGGTTCCAACCTACGAACGGGGCCGCCTAACACGCTTCCCGGGCTGACAGACCTGCCTCTCGTCGTCGACGCTGACTGACTGAAGGTAAACAAAGCCTATGGAGCACATTGCAAGCCCTGCAAGCTATCTCGACCTGACTTTCAATCCAGCTTGGTCTGAGCACCAAGCCTCCACAATCATGCAAAGCACTGCACTTCCACTGTGGGAAGCGACCAGGCTTCATGCCTGGGCAGTGCACTGTCATCAATCTCACCACTTTTAGACGTCACCAGCAGCGTCTTCCATAGCTTGCTCAAGAAGACGCAGCACATGCCAGTGCACAAGGTCCCGAGCGGCCATGGCGTCTTCAAGGCTGTCGTGTCCGCGACCCGTTTGAATCTGACGGCCGAGTCTCTCCTGAGCCAGGCTCTTGAGGGTGAGCTTGCCACGCTGCGACGACTGTTGCTTCTTCTTCTCCTTCCTCTCGTCAACCTTTCCGGCATCAGCGGATGGGCCAGGGCCACCCTCGAGCCACTGACGCTCGGCCTCGGCAGACTCGCGGTCGGCCTCTTCCTGCTCCTGCTTGGCCTTCTGGTAAGCAGCTTCGACGAGGTGCGAGTCGACGATGATGGGGTGGATCCAGTTGAGGGCAGACAGATCCGAGCCGCCACCATGGACGACGACAATGGTCTGAGGTCCGATATACTTGAGAATCTGGAGGCGAGCAATGCCGGTTCCCATGATGCAGATGCCATCGCGCTGGGCCTGCTTCAGCTGCGGCCAGGTGACGCCCGAATACTGGGTGTTGAGGTGGGCCATGTTGACATCGGGCCAGACGAGATTGTTGACAAGGACCTCGGCGGTGAAGTAGTCAATGAGCGTGACGCGAACGAGCTGGGGCTCGTTGTCAAAGGCAGTGCCCATCTCGCAGTCGAGAGCGACGGCGCTGCGGATGTGCTTCGGGCTGCGAAAGTGCTCGTGGGCACGCGGGGTGTTGTAACACTGGAAGCGGAGGGTCATCTCCTTGAGGCTGAACTCGCGGGGAAGATGCTCGTTCTCGTGCATGCAGCCGGGCTGGGAGACATGCTGGTTGCAGCAAGTCCAGACCTTATAGTATTATCAGCGCCTGCATATTATCATAGGCCATGACCAAGCGCGTACAGGTTTCTTTCACTTTGACGAAAGAGGACCAAAATTGCTCACGGACAACGTCACTGACCTTGTTTTTGATCTCGCCGCTATGCCAGTTACATCCGAACTTGCTCTGTCCCTGGGGTTCCTTCATGTGTTCGTTGATGTCCTGAGCAATCTGCTTTCCGATAGCTTTGGTGCTGAGTCTGGCAGAGCTCTCGCTGGTGTTGTCGCTGCACGACTTGACGCGAGTGCTTCCATTCTTTCGAGGTGCAGACCGTCCCTTGCTACCAGTACTGCCGCTGACAGCGGCGTCGAAGACGCGAACGTTGGGAAGGGTGTCAGCCAAGTTCTGAGCAACAGAAACGGTGGCGGCAATGGGCTTCTTGCAGACGCCTGATTTTCGTCATAAAGAAATTAGCTCGACCCTTTCGGGAAAGAGACTCTACGATACGGAAGTCGATGGGATGCCGCATTTCGTGGCGTTTCGTGGTATTCCGTGATACGAAAAGACCCACGCCATCCAAAGACGCATAGGGAAGGAAGGCACAGAAGACAGACGGAAACTCACAACGTAAATCGCACCGCTGGCAGCGATTTTTAGCCTCGAGATCATTGATGGAGAGCTGCTTTATGATATAGCCTCCCTTCTTCAGCTCAGGGCTGCTTGAGGTCAGCCTGGTAAGGAACCGCATGTATTCGGCGTCGGGTTCAATCTGGACGACATGCGGGCCTAAGTCTTTGCTCTGGGCAGAGCCCTTGTTGGAACCAGCACTCTGTTTAGGCATCTTTCAATGGCGGTTTCGTCGTGTTCTAGTGTTATGGCCGGGATGGTGATGCTGATAACGCCAGCGGTTGTGTTGACGGATTGAGTGTGCCGGTTGTAGGAGGTGGAGAGTCTGGGTTGGGAGTTTGGTAAGTGCGTAGAAATCCAGACACAAACAATCCTTCTATGTAGCTGCATTTCTTCACACAACGGCAGGAGCGGTTTGTCAATTGTTTGTCTTTGGGTGAGTTGTGTGCGCATTCACCGATACGCGACGCGCTTGTCGTTCATTCTTTTGGCAGATTGGCTTGCTCACGATCATTGAGCAGGTGCACTATAGGACACCTATAATAATTCGTCGACTTATTCTATTCTCTACCAGACTCCCTCGCCATGACAGTATTCTGGTGCGATGAAAAAAAAGCAGTCACTGTCCTCAACATCGCTCGCAGAAACTGCGTTCACTTTTGAGCGTGCTCGAGCATCGCCCTTTCAGAGTTTGAGGCGACAGCCACATTTGCTCCCATAGAACAAGGCATCTATTGAGGATGTGTTAGAACAGGTTTCTCTTTGGTGCCATTTTTGCAGAGGTGAGGACTGGACATTTTCTCACGGACAAACTCACGGACAAAAGGTTGAAAGCTCGCGCATGACACTGGGATGCTTGAAACAAGAGAAGAATATGAGGACACAACCATGTCCTCTCCGTCCATAGAGCCTTACGCACGCCTTCCCAATTTTCAGTTTCCATAATCATGCGCCCCAAAACGGGAAGTTTGTCATTCAAGTTGTCAATGTTATGCTCAATCTAGCTGTCTTGGTCGCTTTCACTCCGCAGCTAAACATGACACGGCCAGCGCCCCGCTTACCAGGAGTTTTGAAGATGACATTAAGCGACGGCTGCCACACTGGAGACTTACGATAGCATCCGTCGGTGCATGTCATTGTTGCTGAGCAAAGGTTCGACAGCCGTTGTGGATTGGATGAGTTGGCTGGGGTTGATCATAGGTTCCTTAAGGGAGGGATTCACTTCCTCACCATGTCCAAAGCTCTCCCTTGACGTCGATTGGCTTACATCACGTGTCTTTGCGAGACGAGCTTGTCATGATTGGAGAAGTGATTATATTAATCTCCAATCTCAATCAATTACTTTATTTTAGGTAAGAACGATCGCCAATTGCTCTTATGTGCGAGCCAGAGTTGCACAGGTCTACTGGCGTGGCGAGATGTGTCCATAGATGTTCCAAGTGACAGTTCATGTACACGGCCGTAGAAGAACACCGTAGCCCGAGTACACGCAACCCTACCCATCGTGTCTCCTCGAGTGGGCGAATTGAACGATTCGCAGATGACGAACTACTTGAGCAAGCTCTGTACCTGAGACGTAATGTCAACCAGGGGAAAGCTCGTCCTGTTTCCAGCAAGAGTGCCTGGCACCCGTGCATCCCCAAAGAACTCGGTGACGGTGTAGATTGACTCGCCAATTTGAAGAGAGGCCACGGTAGTACCGCCCTCGGAGAGAAGACTGTTGGGAATTACTCCAAGGTTCTCGGCAGTGTTCCACTTGCCATCCAATGAGCGGAGAACATAGGTTCCGTTGACGTTGTCGGAGATCAGAAGAACCTTGTCCGAGTAACGAGGAGGCAGGTAGGCGCCGTCGAGATTCAGACCGATAGGGCCGTCCCCAGACGACAGTGGAATTCTGACGGGAGTGCCCTTTTGAGCGCGAATGTCAAACTTGTAGAGCTGCCCATCCGTATTGTCGCTGACTATCAGACTCTTGCCGATGTTGGCGATGCCACTGTAGCCGTGAACCGTGTGATCCGGCGGGGTTGCAAGGTACCAAGGCGTGGCCTGCTTTCCATCGGCGCTGACGCGGATGATGCTGCTTGGGAAAGTGCCGAGCACAAAGGTATTACCCAGCTCATCGTGCTCAATGTCCTGGTACCCACTGTACACGCCATCTGTGACAGCTGTAAGATTCGTTTTCCAAAGGACCCGGTCATCCTTTAGACCGTATTTGACGAGAAAGTTGTCGCCCGAAATGTTTTGGCCTCCGGTGTCGAAGGATGAGCCGGCGTCAATCACGATAGAGAGCCGATCCCGAGGATCGACCTGAACACCACTCGAGTGCAGGAGAGGGTTTCCACTCAATCCAGGGACTGTGAGGGTCTTAACGACAGCATTCTTGCTAGGGTCGTATACTGCAACAGTGGCGTTGTAGAGGACACTGATTGTGAGGTCAACAGGGGTAGTACGGGGCTAGTTTACTGAGGTAGTACCCACCTGAAGTACGCCACACAGCGCTTGGCATCAAAATCGGTATTTTCTGGGTATAGCTGGAAAGAATCGATGGTGAGATCACCTTTGATCCCAGGACAACCTTTCGGAAGGCAGGAGGAGAGCGCAAGGCTAGCACTCAAGGAGAACGACCACAAGGAACGATGCATGGCGACTAATACTCAAGCGAAAATATCTTGATGTATGGTAAGGCAGGCAAATAGTACAGATTGGCGTCGTAAAGATTGACCCATGTAGCCTTGTGAGACCTCCCGCCGTTCCCCTTGCATGCCAAGAAATCTATTTTATACGGACAGCTGGATCAGAGAGATCTTTAGAGGTCGCGCCTCCCGCCTCCTGCCATCGCAATTGCTACTCACACCATCGTCTTGTGTCACGTTCCATCTTCGCAAATCCCCGGGACCAGTTTGACTCCGAACCCGACACGCCAACCAAGTGGGGCACGCTTGGTGTTGATAATCAGATGGGGCTCTTGCTGTCAAATCCATCGGAACGAAGCCATGGTCAAGCTCGGAATGTCCATTGACCAAACAGACGGCGGCTGCCCCGCCTTCTCCTGCGTTGGTAGGCCTAAGAGTCTACCAGTAGAACTCGTAATAATAGAACAGGTGGGATTTAAAATCTTCCGACAGTGACTGATGCTTTCATCAGGCACATACATAGGTGGGGCGTCCCAGATTTGAAGCCGAGCGAAGCTTGACACGCCATTCCGGCCTTGTCTTAAATTCCCTCGTCAAATGGAGATGCCGACGAAGACGGGCTGGACCCAGATCGGCAGTTGACATTTCAGCACAGTTTGAGCATAAGTCACGTCGCCATTAGCTGCTTACATGACGAGATTTGATCCCGAACTCTATTTCCCTTTCCCAAGTCCAACCCAAGGAAGAGAGTGAAGGCCTATATTAGGAGTCAACCCATCCATTCACCAAACTCAATTGGCCTCGCGACCATCATACTCACTTCGATACCTCGGAAACGAACTTCTTCATTTAGCTTATCCGGCTCCTCCATCAGCGATACCCAGAATCCTTTCTACTCAGTCTGCTCAATATGCCTGCCATCAAGAATGTCGCTCACGCTGGCGTAAGTTTCTCCTCTCAGCAGATGGTCGTCTCAGCTTCTTACCAGTGTTCATCATAGGCCGTCGGTGCTCTCGGTGAGCCCGTCCTCACAGAGCTCGTCAACGCTGGCTTCAACGTGACCGTCCTCACCAGAGCTGCTGGCAAGGTGCCTGCGGGCTTCGCGGACAAGGTTAAGGAGGCTGTCGTCGACTACAACGACACCGCCTCCCTGAAGTCCGCGCTAGCTGGTATCGACGCCGTCGTCTCCACCCTCGGCGCCCCCGCCGTGGGTGACGCCCAGCGCAGCCTTGTCGACGCGTCGGTCGAGGCTGGCGTCCAGCGCTTCATCCCGTCCAACTTTGGCTGCGATCAGCAGAATGCCCTGGCGCGCCAGCTTCCTGTCTTCGCCGAGAAGGTCAAGACGGAAGACTACCTCGTTGAGAAGGCCAAGAACACCCCTCTCTCCTACACGTTCGTCTACAACAACCTCTTCCTCGACTGGGGCATTACCTACGGCAGCCTGCTCAACGTCAAGGAGAAGACTGTCAACCAGTACAACGGAGGCAAGCTGGCTATTAGCGTCACCCGCCTGGAGACGGTCGGCAAGGCTGTTGTCGGAGTCCTGAAGAACCCCGAGGCAACGGCGAACCGCATCGTGCGCATCGAGGACGCCAAGGTCTCCTACAGCCAGATTGCCCAGTGGGCGCAAGAGGCTATCCCAGGCAGCTGGAGCACCCCCGAAGTCGACAGCAACGAGCTCAAGGCCAAGGCGGACGAGGCTCTCGGCAAGGGTGTCTTTGACGGTTGGGTCTGGTTCAACTACATTCTGCAGGGCGCCACCAACGAGTCGTACGGCCCTAACTTCCAGAATGTCGACAATGAGGTTCTTGGTCTCAAGGGTCTCTCTGGGCAGGAGCTGGAGGAATATGTGAAGACTGCCATCAAGCAGAACGCTTAAGCAAATATGTAGGGATTTCAATACCCAGTCATGATAATGAACAATGTCATCTTAATCGTCAACTCTAACCCTCCCTCATTCGGCGACTACTGTATGGTTTGAAACTTTTGCTCGTTACTGCATAGTGCTGGTTGCTCAAGCTATGGGCATGATATCTTTTACACAATTAATATCAAATAGCAACGGACTGAAAACGTTCAACTGATCAAGTAAATAGCAATTATACTCTGAGCATCTCCAGTCGGTGCCCCACGATGACCTTCACTACTCTGGCCAACAATATCTCTCTCTACTCCTCCTTCATACAGATGCCATGACGTGTATGCGATTTACGTTACCACGTGGGCTCTAGCGTCCAGAATGCCGAGACTCTTCTCTATACTGTGATCCAGCGCGCCATCCAGGTGTCAACAATCTCCTTCGCCTCATCGACAAGGCCGAGATCCAAGAGTAGCTGCGTGGTTCCCCGCACAGCAGATTCGAGAGCTGAAAAGATCCAGGCATGCGTTATGCTAGTGTGCTCACCGACGAAGATGGTGTTCATCTCGGTCTTGTGGTACGCAGGAATGAACAGCTCCTGCTGGCCGACGGTAGGGGACGCCCATGCGCCAGCCTGGTGCTCGTCCACCTCCCAGCACTGACGATCGTAGGCACCGGTCCACTGCTCGTTGGCGATTTCGCCATGGACCTCCACCATGGCGCGCTGGATAAGGGCAACGTGGTCCTCTTCACTGAGAGCAGCGACGGAGCGCGCTGCCGTGCCCGAAGTATAGGAGCCAAGGATGACACCGGGCCCGGTGGAGTTGATCTTGTATGCGGGGTAGCAGACGGAGCCGACTCCGGGGATATCGGTTGACCCGCAGCCTCCGAAGATGGGGTTCTCCTGGTGCTCCCAGAAGCGGGTCTCGTAGTGCAGAGCAACCTTGCAAGACTGGGCGTAATTCAAAGTGGAGATGGCCCTCGAAAGCAGGCTGGAATAGGTGGGAGTCCTCCAGAGCCTGATCTTGGAGAATGGAACGGCCACGACTGCATAGTCATACTCGTCACTCTTGGGCTCCCTGTCAAGGGGGCTTTCTCTCCAGGTGAGCGCCACCTTGGACGTCGTCTCGTTGTACTGAAGCCCGTCAATCTTTCGGCCGTACGTAATCTTTCCCTCGACATGAGGCGTGAAAGCCCGAGGGAGTGAGTCAAGGCCCTTGTCAATAGTGCGCCAGGTGGTGGCCGAGAAGTAGACATTGTCATACCAGTCACCCCACATGGGCGAGTTGCCTGAACCGCCGACAAAGTCGACAGTGTCTTCATCCAGACCAAGCTGGTACTTGAGGTAGGCGGCCTCGGACCAGCTGAAGAGGCCCCTGTCGATGGCGTCGCGGTGGGCTTGGAACACGTTCGTGGAAATGTTGCGCATGCGCTCCGGTGACATGTCAAGCAGGCGTTCGAGGAACTTACCGCCCAGCTCGGCACCTTCAGGGTCAGAGGCATTGGCCGCCTTAGGGATCATGCCAGGACTGGCAGCAGCCTGCGCGCTGCTGGGAATCTGACCGTTCGGTAGGCGGTATCCGCGCGAGTTTGTTGGCGTGTTGGGGCTGCTCTGGATCCAGGGGATGAACTTAACGGCTAGATCCGAGTCTTCGCCGTTCATCTCATTGAGCACATCGGCCAGCTGAAAGACCATCTTGTGGTCCTGAATGTCGAGGGTCTCGTTGGTGTCTGTGTATTTAACTGACACGGGGAATCGCATGGGGCCCATCTCCTGGTATTGGTAGTCGTTGGGTCCAGTGCCGTTGAGGTACTTGGTGCGAACACGGCCGCCTACGCGGGCGGTAGACTCAATAATATGCCAGTCAGTGATGCCAACTGAGGTCAGGAGCAGACTCGTCATGAGTCCAGCCATTCCACCTCCGACGATGGCTATCTTCTTGCTCTTGGCTTCGGCTGTAGACAGAGAGGCCTTCTTGGTGGAGTTCAAGTACTTGACGCCGTTGAACCAAAGCCCGTTGGAATCGCCCGTCTCGTGTAGGGTCTGGCGCTTTCGATGCGGGTGAGAGAAGCTGATGGGCTCGGAACGACCAAGCAGACGGCCCTCAGAGTAGGCATGAAGACAACCTTCCTGGCTGACATCATGGGGAACGACCCATACCAGACGGTCTGGGGCAGCCTCCCGTCTCGTGAACAGAGACGCCACTTCATGTTGATAGTGGTTGGTGCTCTTGGGGTTACATTCGCCGTACACAATTTTAACATTGCCGTGCGGAAAGTTGTCCTCATAGGTGACGTGGATATTATGCACTGACTCTGACGAGACACTGTCGAGGCCGTGGAAGCGGATGGTGTCTTGAAATATGAAGGCTGGACTTGACAGGACCCTGCTGCTGAGGGCGAGAACCAGGATCGAGGTGGCTTGAGGACTCAACATTTTGAATATCGTTTGAGCTGTCACTGGGAATTTGGAACAAATGAGGATATCGACCAACTTCTAATACCATGGAAGCGCGCCGACAATGATGTCTTATATCGTTGTCTGTGACCGATGCCCGGCGACCATGCTTACGACCTTTGGCCGCCACAAAGCAGCTCTTAATCATAATCTGCGAGTTTGGCATCTTGCTACCGCGAGTAGTCCGCAAGACTAATGCAGATGTTGCAATCGCTGGGCTGAGAAGGGTCACGTCGGACGGAGGTTGGTCGGCTCCGCTCCGACACGCCACGAGGTTGGCCGTTATGAGATAAGTTCCGATCTCGGTATGACTGCGAATTTTGACAAGCCTTATTTTCAACCCTGATGTTTTTTCCCAAGCCTCGGTTTGTGTCGGTGAGGCTTATCATAAAGATTACTCTCACCATTGGTCGGGTATACTCGAAGGATCCATGCAGCGATAACACCAAGAGGCACTTGCAGCGATAAAGACAAACCACCACGTTTTCCTATCAGGATGATCGTCTGTGTCTAGTCGCCTGCTTGGAACGCGGGGTAGCCATAGAATTACCCGGCATCTCCATCGGGAAGGAGAAAAGAGGTAACGGACGTCACAGCACGTGGCGCCACGTGCTGGTTCAGGTTTCAACTGGTGCTTGCTGCCTCGTCCGTCTCGTAGACGATGGCAGTACCGCTCTCATAATTCGCAGAGCTAAGTGAAGTTCATCAATATCGTCCAGCTTCGCAGAGCATTGTGTGGGGAGAGCTACTTCGATTCGCTGAGTCTAGAGTCCGGGCCTTGTGGATTGACGGACCGAGTCAGTGACTGAGCTACGACATCTCGAGCAGAATATCTGAACAGAAAAGTCGCGATAGAAAGAAGTCATTCCTGGTCTACATTGGTCATGACGTCGTGTCATTCAGATGATTCATCGACATACCGCTTCTTGAGATGTCCAGGTTGGAGACTGGAGCGATAGCAAAATGGTTCGAGTCACGGCACAGCCGGAGTGAGTGTTCCTCACCCCCGCGGGGTCATCGGCGAGACTGTTCAATCGATTCGGATCCAGCAGACTATGCGCAAAGATAACGGACCCGAGGGGTTGGAACTACCGTCTTTGGGACATCTCGGCTCAGCTGTTGATTGTGGGTTGGGCTAAGAGCCCCCCGAGTTGGAAGCCCAACGCGGCGATCCGACGGATGCCACTGTAGGCTGATGATTCGGCAGTTCTGTAGGTCGTCAGACTCCGGACAATTATCAGATAAGTCACCTTCTAAATTGAGAGATTAATGCACAAAAGTGGGAAAGAATCATGTCGGCGAAGGGCGCGATGCCTTCGCCTTGCGCTTTGCGCCAGGGCGCGGGGTTCGTGGGAATCGAGGCCGCCAACTTTCTTGGCAAAGCTGATAACGATTGCACGAGGTTGGCGATCGCAACATCGTCTTCAGAATGAAGGGTTGGCGACGTCTCCGATCGGAGCTCATAGACTTGCAAGCTTACTATAGACAAAAAAACAAAGAGAGGATGGTATTTAAACGAGCACATCACCTTCAGTAAGGACTTGAGGCAAGCATCGCAGAGATTGTCATTCGTACGTCAGCAAAAATTGAAATTGTCAATTGCATCATACTACTATTACGTTTGGCGCATATCAAGACTGAAAACAAGTCGAAATGTTCGGAATGGCGATTCTCAAGACAGCAACGTTGCTTCTCGTTGCTGCTGGGTCGGCCTTTGCTGCACCTTCAACACTTCTTCAGTCTCGATCCAAGTCTCCCATCACGCACCTTGGATCTCAGGGCCCCATCTTGTGTACGCTTGTTTGAGTTTGGTCCCAACAGAGCTCGTCAGTTACTGACTCCGTCCAGCCGGTGGTGTCATGACCAAGGATATTGTCTACACCAGTGGCACGATCCCCTCTGTCAATGGCACGATCCCCGAGGGCATCGAGGCCCAGACGGTACGTCACCAATTACATGTTGTTGTCCTCTCTACGCTTCGACGACTGACGGGCAGCAGGCTGCTGTCATCAACAATATTGGGCTCATTTTGGAGGAAGCGGGCACGTCGTGGGACATGGCCATCAAAACGACGGTGTTCCTCGCCAACATGGACGATTTTGCTGCGATGAACGGCGTGTACGGCAAGCTGCTGCCCAACCCGAAGCCGGCACGAACGACCATTCAAGCGGGCAAGCTGCCAGGCAACTTTCTGGTGGAGATTGAAGCCGTGGTGGCTCGTCCTCACTGCTGATGAGCCTTCGGACTCGATCGATCGCATCATGTTGCTGGCTCAAGTGTAACGGGGTTGGTTGGCACTGCGATTGAGAGATGCATGCGATTGAGTGACACGGAATGCATGACGGAAGCTTGAACCGGGTCCGTACACTGTGAAAAGAGGCAATTGTCGAGTAGACTGCACCGCCACAGGAGTAGCTTCACAGAGCTTGCGTCTCACCAACCTGGCCTCGAGCGCATTGCAAAGTTACGTCGTGATGTCTCAGGGAAATGGCCGTCTTTGTTCCCCAAGCGCTGGTAGAGGTAGAGGTATGGAGCAGTCCCACTTCGTCTTGTCGCGGCAGGCATGAGAGCGGTAGCTTCGGGACGTATTGGGGTGCAGCGTAGAAAATGGGAAAGGAGCAGCTCGGACCACTCTCGACAGGTATGCCGTGTACACCGTACTGCCCGCCGGCGGCTTTTTTTTCTCTGCCGCGTGGAACGTGAATAACAAGAAGTAAAGGGTTCGCTCGGCAGCAGGCTCGTGGTGGGTTTCGGACCCTGAGTGAATACATGGTAGCTCGTCCCACCTGCACCGGTAGGCCGGGATGCCATGATGTTGTGGAACGAACCTTAACCCTCCCTTGACGGACGTGCCCCAGGGACCTAGGTACATGTACAGCAGTCCTTGGATGTGCGGTGTTCATTGTTGGTCCCATGGCAAACACTAGAACGATCCTGTGGCGCACGATGGCGAGCGACCGCGGCGACATGGCGCCAGGTAGCAAGCAGCTGGTGCCTCTGCTCCTTCGCTTCGGCTGCCGCCGCCTTATCCGGGCATTCGGAAGGGCGCTGTTCGGCTGCAGGGTCAGATCTGAATGCCAATTATAGAGATGCTTCGGGCGGCACCAGGCAGCGAATACAGCGGAGGGTGCACTGAAGGGGGGCCTCAGTTCAGCCCTGGAATGATAAGGACCAACCAGAAGAGGTCGGGGCTAGTGACAAGCCTTCTTCGATGGATACGAGAGTGGGGCCTTTCCACCCGATCCTTCCACTGGCGCCTGGACTTGGCAGATTACCCGTGGGCCACTCTGCTCAGGGGGCGGCACGGGGCAAAAACTCAAAGGCTCGCTCACGAATCCGTCTGCTTTTATTGCTGTGTATCCCCCCCCCCCCCTCCCCGCCGCTGCCTGCTGTCCGCCTCCCTCGCGCCTCCTTGCCACGTCGTTTCTGTTTGTCTGCTTGACTGCGTGTGCGCCTCTTTCCCTCTGATCAGGACGCAGCCAGACCTGCAACATACCACACACTCTTTTACTCGTTTGTTCGTTCGGTCCTTCGAGTCGGACCACACGCGGTCTGCCAACAGTCGACAGTCATGGCGGCCAGGCGATCCTGGATTTACGAGAGCATGCGCGGCGCATCCGTCGCTCGCTCCCGCATGATGACGACGCGATACTGGATCATGCTCAGCAGCTTCGTCGCCGTGACCCTCATCCTGCTGGGCATGCACCTGCACAGCAGCACCCGTCTGCCTCCCCTCTACTCCAAGACGGGCAAGGTCAAGCCGCCGCCGCCCTACCCCGACACGTCCGTCGTCCTCGCCGAGGGCGAGCTCCGCGAATGGGTGCCCCCCGACATGGACGCCCTCGTCCACGGCGTCCACGCCTCCGACGGCATCCGCCGTGACCCCAAGTACAAGCTCGAAAAGTTCCCCTACTCGCCCATGGACAACCCGCCCCACGACGACGGCCACCAGCGCCCGTGGCTCGGCGCCGTCATCTGCTCGGCCTGGGATCTCAAGAGGAGGATGCTCATCCGCTACACGTGGATGAAGCTCTACAAGGACGTGCCCATGGACCAGCGCTTCGTCATCTCGAACCCGGGCCCTCGCTGGATGGACGTCATCCGCCAGGAGAACCGCACCTACGGCGACCTCATCGTGCTCGACCACCTGCAGGAAGACGACTTTACCGCCAACACGGTCAAGACGATTGAGTTTTACCGCTGGCTCGTCGAGAAGAGCCCGCGCAAGTACGAGTTCGTCTCCAAGATGGACACGGACCTCTGGGTCAACGCCCGCGGCTACTACGACCGCCAGATCCTGCCGCGGCTCGAGGCCCAGGCCGGCAACACGACGCTCGCCTCGACCGTCGACTACACCGTCATCGGCCAGTTCTACTACGACTCGTACCACAAGACGTCCTTCCCGCATGGCGCCATCTACACCGTGACCTGGGACATTGTCGAGCTGCTGCCCGTGCTGCAGGACGAGTTCCACATCATCGCCGGCGAGGACGTCACCATGGCCTGGCTCCTGATGAAGGGCAAGCAGAAGGTCACCATGGCCGTGTTGAACGAGCAGGAAAAGTTCGAGTTCGACAAGAAGGACACGCGCCGGGGCGAGGACTCCCCCTGGGCCCGCAACGGCACCGACGTCACGTCGCCCTGGCACGCCCTCGCCGGCAAGGAGGCCCTTGCCATCCACCAGCTGAAGAAGGACGACGAGTGGCTCATGGTCGCCGCCGTCTTTGACAAGAACGGCCTCATCGACGCGCCCCTCGTCGACAACCACGATTTCCGCGACGACAACGACAAGCCTGGCTACCCGCGCCCCCATTACACGACCATTCCCGACATCTTCTGGGAGACGGACAAGGATGGCAGGCTTCTGTGCAACGGCGTGTGGAAGCTCGAGGCCGGCGTCGCGCCGCGACATGAAGAAGACGGACGACGAATCAGGATCATAGAGACTTCTGGACGGCATGAGCGTTCTTTTTTCTATTTTTTTTTTAAATGTTTTTTTTTGTATGACCAAGCGTTTTCGACTTTGATGATAGACAAACGCTTTGGTTCACCCGGTCTGCTTCCTGATCCGCCACGCATCGACGGCCAAACATGGGTGGGCGAGCGGTGTGTGGCTCGAGAGGAGTGCCGCCCTTGGCCGGCATGCAACCGCAGAACCACGCATGTAGATACCGACCTCAACATAGACTTTCGACTCTCAGAGACTACGAACAAGCAATAAATTCAAGAAAACACATTCCTGGATCAGCTTGAGGGTGCTTTTCCCGTGCATGGCAGCCAATTTTATATTCCTTTGGCTTTTGGCCGGGGCCGGGGAAAGTTAAGTAAATGACACGATAATTTGAAACTCTGTCATCACACGGCGGTTCACGAGTCACGACAGGCTCGGCAAAACGTCGTGACGAGCCGCCGACGGCGAATTGGTGTATGCCAATAGCTTCCGACGCCGGAGGATAACGATCTAGGGTGGCAGAGTCGGACAAACAACACATGGACAGTGCTGCCATCATGGCCCAGTAGCGAAAGCGCTGTTGCCCCCAGTCGGCGCGCGCTGGAAGTGCCTTTCCAAGAAACCATGGCTTGGTATCAGCGTCACGAGAAAATCAGAGACAATACAAGGTTGTCGAAAAGCTTCCTTTAGTGTGTCTTTTCTCCTTTTTTTTTTTTTTTCTTATTCTTTCTTGGTAGGCCAACCCAAGGACTTCGATCGCCCAGCGCTTGCCCTCCCCCCCGGTTGATCCGTAGGACGGCAATACGGCACACCTGGGCGGGGGGACATCATCCAGTGTGATTGCTGGGCTTTTCCTCGGCGAACCAGGATGTCAGATATTTAAGCTTCTTTTCTGGCCAGCCGTTGAAGCTTATTGCGCCGGGAAACGTGGGATTGGAATTCTGATCAGACCACCGTCCCCATTGAAACCAAGATGTCAACTGACCAACGAAACCAGACACATTTGTCTCTGTCTTCGCGACGACTGGCCTCTACATCTTGATGCAGAGACAAAGCGCTTCCTTCAACTTCACAGCCTCGCCAGTGCAGTGCCTCGCCCCAGTGTTCTGTAATTACAGCCAAAGGGGGCGAGGGCCAGCCAGCCCAGTGGAGAAGCGCAAACTCGAAGAGATTGGGAGATGGAGGGACGGAAACCCAGTGAACACGTGCCCTTATTGGAGCAGGCATTGGACCAGGATGGCCCTGTTAGCGTAGTTTCATGGTACACTGCTAACCCACTTCAGGCCTGTCGCTCACTATAAACCACCGGGGCAGAACACACACAGAGCTGAGGAGGGGGATTGGGGCGAGTTGAGGTCGTACGTAGAAAGGGGTCACATCACGTAGCAGTGGGGTTGGGATGGAAAAAGGCATTGGAAGGGGGGTTTCCCCATCCTCGTTTGCCATTGATGCTTGGCCTGGCAACTTGGCGATGTCGAAGCTTGGCCTCCGCGACGATGCTTGAAAATGGAGAGACAAGCAAGTTTGGTCGTGTACCGCGAGTGGATTGAACCAGCGGTGGAGGCGGAGGAGGAGGCGTACGCGGAAAGTCTCTTCTGCTCCCACTGACTCGGGTATCTGCACCCCCTAGCGACGAGGCATCTGTCGCGCTGATCTATCCGTCATGCCACGCCCGATTCGTGGGCGCAGCAACGGTCGTCGTCTTGTGTCGGCGTTGTGGTGAGTGAGGGTGGATGATGAGCCACACCAGGATTCGTCATTTGTGGTGCGTTGTTGCTGCCGCCTGCATTCGGCAAGCCTTGGTTGATTCGAGAGAGCGCCATATCATCCATTGGAAGCTACATTCCCATTGCAAAGGCACGGCTAAAAGGGTCGAGTGCACATGTATAGTCCAGACGAAGGTTTTCGATGGTTGAGCGAAACGGGTTTGGTTGGCCGATTGTGGCGCTTGACGGCGAGGATCAAAGTGGGAAGTACTGACAGGGTAGAGATGAGATGCTGCCACTTCGCTCACTTGCAACGAGATGCTGCGGACCTTATCGCCAGGAACGATGCCCGCCATGGGCAGTCATGGCCATGGCCACGAGTGACTGTGTCAAGCACCTGCTGCGCCGACGATGAAAACAATTTCCCCGTTGCCTCAGCTCACTGCGTTGAAGCAGACAATGGCCATTGTTGTGACGTCTGTGTCTGCGAGGTGGGTTCCCTGTCCGAGATGATGATGTTTCTCTCACTGGGCCATTCCGACGGCCGAATCATGACCAGCAAAATCAGCCTGTCTCTTGGCAGTGCGGGGCATCCCGAGTGATGTGTCCAATGACCGCAGATCAGTCTCTTAGGATGGATCTCGTCGGATGCACTGCCCATCCTGCCCAGAGCCGGGGCCAAAGGCGAGCTTGGCAGACAAGTGCGTCCAGAAGCACAGTCTCAATACAGTGCCAGCTCTGAATTGATTCTTCATGTGATGCGCCAAACAACGGCGTCAAGGACAGTGCCAATTCGCGAGGATCACCTCCTCCCCCACCACCACCACCCCAAGCCCACCTGCCACCCGGGCCAACTTTGCAACTGGGCACTACCTGACGCACCACGCACTGGAGACAGCCGGCCAGCCAGGCAGGCCGCCCGCCATATTACCCGCAATCGAGTTCCATGCCACTGGATGACCTTGACCCGTACCCTTGACCGAACACCTCTTCCAAGTCTCTGGTCACGAACCTCCAAAGCCAACTTTCGAGCTTCGCCTGCACTGCACACCACGCCCTAATCGAGACACGCCGTCTTCCATGCCTCGACTTCGACGCGACCATACCCGTGACGTCCAACGACAAAAGCCTAGGCTGACGATTCTTCGCTAACTCTCTCTCCACCTTCTTCCTGCTTCACCCTCCCCTTGCGACCGATCTCTCTCTAATCGGGAGGAGCACCGAGACTTCGCCAAACTGACCGACCTCCCGAGCCACCACCACCACCACCACCACCACCACCACCACCACCAACAACACCGCCCTGACGAAGCACTACACTCTCCAACGGGGTTGATCACACCAACCTCGCCACTGGGGTTTGCCTCTTGCCTCCCACCCGCGCCCGCGCCGCGGCCCTTCGCCCTATGGATGCTCAGGAACCAAAGCCGGCTGAAGACGCGACCACGCCCTCTGGCTCCCCCGTGGACGCCGAACCCAAAACCTCGACGCCTCCGACGACGTTCCTCCAGCGCACCAAGCAATATGTGCACCGTTTCCTGACAAAGAACATCTGGGCCAAGGACGGCCGCAACCGCAAACATGTTCCGCACATGTCTGTATGGATTGCCGGAGTTCGCGTCTTGCAACTGGTAGGCAGAACCCCGTCTGCCAATCTGTGCCATGGGCCGACGTGCTGACGGATCATACAGCTCCTCGCCATAGCCACACTGGCTCTGACTGCATATGGGGTGGCCACCATACAAAAGGCCGTTGGGTATAGGAGGATCACGGTACGACAGATCTCCATTCGCGATCCTACAGGCAAATCCAGTCAAGAAAGCTGGCTGACTCTCTGGAAGAACTGGAGCGGGTCCGAGGGGTATCGTAAGTCTCTCCCCAATGTGACTGGCTCGCCCTTCCTCCCCAGGTTACTGACCCTTTTCTTCAGCTTTTGCATGGTTCGCCTTCTCCTGGACCCTCGTCTACCTGGCGTGGCTCGGTACAGCAGTTCTCGTTCTCCCCATCATGTACAACTGTTGGGTTCACCTGTACGTGGAGAGCTGTGTTGATGTCGTGCCGCAACTTGCTGACATGGATCTCAGTGGTCTTGAAATCCTGAGCCTAGTGTTCTGGCTCATCGTGACATCACTTCTCGCCAGCCACTCGGATGACCTTGATTCCATCGATGCCTATGTTACTGGCCTCGGCCCTGAGTATAAGAAACATTATAATGAGTTCATCCAGGAATATGCCCGCGGATTTGTCGTGGCAACCTTCGCAGCCACCGGCGTGGCAACTGCCAATTTTCTCCTCTTTGTTGTCACGGTCGCTCGATTCGGTATGCATTTCTTTCCCCGGCCTACCAACAGGATGCGCCATGCCATGACAATGGGTATAACAACTGACACATCGCAGGTCGTGCTCTCCATGACATGCGCCAAAAGTCGAACGCCAGCACCAAGTCCCAGACGACGACGCAAGCTTCTGAGGCGGATAAAACTGTCACATCGCCACACATGACACACGCCATGGCTGCTTATCCACCATGGGCTCACTACCCACCTCACCCTCACTACCCATACTACGGGGCGCCTTACCCCCCTCAATCCACCTCGTCCAACTCACCTGACGGACAGTCTGTGCCACCGGGTCCTCATCCTTACATGCCGGCCTATTTCCCCATGCCCATGCACCCCTATCCTCAGGGGTATCCGACGCCAACCCAACAGGGACCTCACCAAGATTCACCTGATCCGCAGGACCCGAACCGACAAGTCACAGCTTCACCGGGTGGTGCCTCACAACACACGCCGTGGCCACCGCATTCCCCGCACTACGGTCCCCCAGGCTCCATCTGGCCGCAACACAGCTACAGCATGTACCAGCAGCAGGTGCCAATAGCAGCGCAGCACACGGGCCAGTCACAGCCAGGGTTCGGCTCGCCACAGTTCCCAATGGTCGCGCCAATGGCCACGACGAAGACTGATCTTCAGGGCATTCCCCCAGCCCCGTCGGCACTGGGCTCTGTGCTAGCACATACAAGACCAGGCCTACCAGCAGAGCTCAACGACGGACAGCTTGGCGACGAGCACATGCCCGCTGAGCTGTCTTCTCATGACCACCCACCACCGCCACAAGTGCCGCCACCGCCACCAACTGAGCCTCTGGAAACGATGCGACCAGCGCAGGAGGAGCTGCCGGGGAACGAAGCACCGACGGAGCAGCCATCAGCAGCAGAGACGCCCAAAGAAGAAGAGGTACCGAGGTAGCGAAAATGGCGACGATGGGAGTTAATTCATCCAGCGACACAATTCTGGCTTTTGGCGTTATTTCGGGAACAGGGGGATGGGGCAGCATAGCATCTGCGAATGGGCGGCATGCAATTTTGGATTTCAAGACGGCACAAGGGCAGCGCAACGGAGGCGCGGCGTACACGCGGGGGCCCTTGGTCACTTTGTTTTAACCTCTTTTTATTTTCCCTCTCGGGGTCCTTTTTCGCGCGCCCACGGGGTCGGGGTCGACGCGTGCCTCTTCTCTTTCTCTTGCATAGATTGGCGTCTGGGGGGGACATGAGCGGTAATACGCTGCCGAGAAAGGCCTTTTCAATGTTTCTTGCTTGATTCTTGCTGATCAGGGAATGATGTTTGAATCTTGTGTGCGACAGATTTCGGGACGAAGATTGGGATCTCTCAAAACTAAAAGCTTAGGGGTTTCCGTTTGTTCTCGGGCTAGGATCACCAGGACCGCCAGGTATCGGGTGTCGTTGAATGGGGGCAAGGGCTGTCCATCCTATGCACCATGTTGTGATGTGTTGGCAGCGTCCAAAAATGGTCGATGAGGATCTACCACACGCCTGACATCCTGACTTACCAATGGCCCTAAATCACACGTCATACACACATAGATGAGCGTGCTTCTCGTGGCAAGCAACGACTACATGTTTATTTTGGGTATCGTGTATCCATCTCCTACCATTGCATTCTACCATAGAGCATGTTGACTTCTGTTGTCTCAGCGTCCGCTTCTCACATGACGTAGCGGAAGTACGGGTTCTCCTTGTCCGTCAGGTCCTGGAAAGCAAGCTTGGCGCGCTCCTCCTCGTCAACCGCCTGGCCCTCCCGCTTGGCATTCTCCCTGCGCAGGACAAAGTACAGGGCAACGGCGGCGAGGATGCAAATGACGTAGCAGACGATGAGGCCGGTCCAGAGCTCGGGGTAGTGGTCGGGCCTGCTCTGGGAGCGCACGAGCAGGGGGCCGACAATGTTGCCGACGCAGTAGGCGAC